TTCCTTCCTTCCTTCCAGCTGGCAAATCCCACATTCCCCCCTCCCTCCTCTTTCTCCTGGCATCCTTCTTGCCCAAAATTTCTCATTACTTTATTTTTCATACCCTCACTCTATGCCACAGCAATGCGTTGCCAGGTACAGCTAGTATATATTATATTATATAATATAATATAATATAATATAATATAATATAATATATAATATATATTATATTATATTATTATAGTACTATTATATTATAGTATTGTATATTATATTATATTATTATATTATATATCATATTACTATATTATTATTCTTTATATTATAATTGTATATTATAATATAATATATATTATATATTATAATATAATATAATATAATAATATTATAATATAATATACAACAATATAATATAATAATATTATTATAATATAATATAATATAGTTGTTTGTTTTATCACACCAACAGTCAACAACAGAGGGAGAGGGAAGCTTGAGAAGTTCCCGCTGTCCCATTTGAAGGTTTTTTTAGCATACTGCACAATCGTGTCCGCCATTAACGAATCGATTTGTAATTTTACGAAATTTCGTATATTTCGAAATTTTTAAAAGGAAAATGTTGGAATTCTTAAAAAAAACGAAACGCAAGGGCCCCCTAAAAACAAAACGAGTTTAGAACCAAATTTTTCCGTGGTTACCCAAGCCTACCATTTACCACGACAAGATGACAAACCACTGAGGGGGACTGCTCGAGCAAATGCCTGTTGATATAGCACAGAAAGTGAGAATGTGAAAAGGCTGTTCAAAAAGGCACAGCAAATTATGAAAACTTTAAAAGAACAGATCAGCTTTTAGGAGCACTTTTACATGTTCTTCTTCTTTATACAAATGCTTTTTATGGGAGGAAAAACCTTAACACAAAATAAAGCAACTTTGCTTAGATTCTTCTTCTTCTTCGGCAATTCCTCGTTGCCTGAGTCGGATTGTCTTCCTAGATCGGTGTACTGGCGGTGGGCCCGTAGGTGACTGTGGAGCCCTATTCTTCATCTGTATGTTCTCCTGCAGTGAGGGCATTGGTTTCCAGGTGGAAGGCAGTCCTGGTCAGGGTTGGCTTAACGCGTCTTCCTCTTGGCATGTTTCTCTCTTTCGCTTTCCATTCGTGCCTCTTCAAATTCTAGTGTAATGGTTAGGCACTGATGAAGGTAGTAGGAGACCACGCTTTGAACTCCCGCTCAACCATGAAAATGCACTGGATACTTGGGCAAGTCACACTCTTTCAGGATGACAGGAAGGCAAGGACAAACCCCTCTAAGCACAACCATGTTGTAAGATTGACTTAGGATCGCCATAAGTCAGGTATGGCTTGAATGCATAAAACAACAATAGGGATAGTTGCTTGTACAATATTTATGCCTATTGGCTATATTGACTTTTTTCTTTCCTGGAAACTGTCAATGATCTGTGGATCACCACTTTGAGTTGCATTGTACTAAAGCACATAAATCGCACAGTTTTTCTGTTTTTGCTCTGGGCAACACAGCTGAAAAGGGGTCCCCAAAAGAAGCAAGGTTGTATCTTTGTTTTTGAAATCCTACAATCAGCTGAGACAACATAGGTTTTTAGACTTTAACTAATCTACTAGCACCACCTAGTGGATTTAAACTGCATATGCATTCTTAATAGTTCCCCTCTTCTGTTTTGACTTCATACATAAGGAGGCTCTGGTTCTAAAAAGAAAATAAGACAGGAATTGGTTTCTATAAAGCACCTAAGATATGTGATTAATTCATATTCTCATATTTATGTATATCTATAAACATAGAGTATGACCCTCTTACCAACAGACTTGATATGCACAGTTTCACTTATCCATCCCCACCCCAATATTTATTTGTTTATTTATTTGGGTACCCCGCCCTTCTCAACCCCGGGGGGGGGGGGGGGGGCGGGGATGGGGACTCAGGGTGGCTTTCAGCCAGCACATATTCGATGCCTACAAGCCACACAACAAAATACACATCAAAAACCATAATCACAAACATTAGATTAATACAATAAAGTCTACTAAAAAGAGAGCCAGTCAGGTGGCCATTGTTCCGTTGAGTTCTGTAATTGAAAGTTCCATTAAACTTGTCCACAAACCGTTTCCATAGCCGTTGTCATCACTGTCGTCGTCAATTCTGCAAGCTTACCCAAAGGCCTGGTTCCACATCCATGTTTTTAATTTCTTTCTAAAGGAGAGGAAGGATGAAGATATAATTTCCCCGGAGAGCTAATTCCACAGCCGGGGGGCCACCACCGAGACGGCCCTGTCCCTCGTCCCCACCAACCATGTTTGTGACAGGGGCGGGGCCGAGAGCAGGGCCTCTCCAGAAGATCTCGAACTCCTAGGTGGAACATAGGAGATACATTCAGACAGGTACGCTGGACCAGAACCGTATAGGGCAGTGGTTCTCAACCTGGGGTCCCCAGATGTTTTTGGCCTTCAACTCCCAGAAATCCTAACAGCTGGTAAACTGGCTGGGATTTCTGGGAGTTGTAGGCCAAAAACATCTGGGGACCACAGGTTGAGAACCACTGGTATAGGGTTTTATAGGTCAAAGCCAGCACTTTGAATTGTGCTCTATCCCCACAAAGTGTTGTGGACCTGTCTAAGTCTTCCAGAGCTATTCTTTTTGGAAAACACCTTTTGGAGATCATAACTTTTTAAGAAAAGCATGACCTTTCAGAGAAGAGGCAAAAACCCTTTAGAATATAATCTGTTGCGCTAAGCATATTTCAGTCAAGTCCAGTGCAGAAGACACAATAACATTGCACCCAAGCAAGAGAAAAAAACCCAGAAAAACTTTACTCTTATCAGCAGAGTTAAAACATAAACTTTCAATGTTACAAACAGTGCAACAAACTTACATAGTCATTGTAAGCAATACAGAATAAGGCCTCTTCATCTTCATTCAAATGAGAGAGCAGTAAAAATGGTTGAGCAAAATGCCTGAGCAAAGGCTCCTTAGAGCAAAAGCTGAACTGTATTCTAAAAACCATACAGTTATACCCCACCGGGTGTGGTCCAAACTTACTAGTTGACCTACATTAGCAGCTGCACATAATAATTAACAGCATAAGGTTTTCTTTAACACACACACACACGCACGCACACACACACACGATCCTGTTATGGCTTACTGTAACAGAATTTTCTCTTGTGATATACAACCAGATGTAATGATGCAAAGCAATGGTTTCAGTTGTTAGACTAAATAACCTGTTATCTCTTATTTGTTAGAAAAACAGAGATTTTGCCAGTGCATAAAAAACAGCAGTGCTTCAGAAGTATTTTTCAGTGTCATATGCACACACACACACACATTCCCATAAAACAACTTGTTTTATATCATGCACACAAGAGACGCAAATTAAGTAGACTTTGGTAAAAATAACATATTTGGTTTACTCACAACCTTCATGTGTTACACAACATATACAGGTACAAAACTTATCGGTTCAGTTTCAGATATGCTTGAGATTTCTTTGTGCCATCTGGCCAGGGCATCTCTTACAGCAAAACAGCAAGCAAGTGTGTGATCTGAGTCTGAAGTAGTCTGTAGTGATCATATCAACTCAAATAATTTATTTCGGTCTTAGACCAGCACAGGATGGTTATCATATTGTCTGCAGCCCTTTTTATATCTTCACAGAAACCATAGAGTAAAGGAAGCTGCGTACCAGAACATACATACAGGAAACAGCAAGCAACAGGATCATACATAAACATTACTAGAGAAGGCTTGAAGAAGATTGTCATTTCCAACAATTCTATAGTGTGTTTTTGGCCCCCAAAAGTCTTGGAATACATCCCATATAAATATGGCATCATATTAACTGTATATGTGGAAAGGTGTAGTTTCAGCCTTGGATTATACCATGTAACACAATTTTTGTTCCTGGGTTATAAACATCAATTCCTAATTGATTCTATCATAAAAACATGGAAAAAGTTTATTAAACTGCAAAAACAGTTAAAATGGCATATGAAAAGTTAAAAATGGACATTGAAAGGTTTAAAATGGCAGGCACAAAAATGAAATTTCTGGAGTATAACAAGTACTGCACAATTAAACAGGAAATAACACTTTCAAAACAGATTTTTAATTTTTTTTGTTACATAGTGTTATTGGATTCATCTCTCTCCATTGTACAATAAGTGCCCAAACGTAACTGAACCACTGCTAAGTTTTAGAATATTAACAAAAATGTTGATATTTGTACATGCACTGTACTCTAGTCATTTTCTTAAGAGTGAAAATATTTATAAATAGAGGTGCATGCTAAATGCAACAGATCCTATCTGAGTTTTGAAGCTAAGCTAGGTCAGCCCTACATAGTTAGTATTTAGATGAAAGATCACCAAGGAATACTAGATGCAGTAGGTTATATCTCAGAGCAAGGAACTATCAAAACTATCTCTGAAGATTCCTTGCTAAGAAAACCCTATGAAATTAATGGGGTTTCCATATATCAGTGGTTCTCAATCTGTGGGTCCCCAGATGTTTTGGCCTGCAACTCCTAGAAATCACAGCCCGTTTACCAGCTGTTAGGGTTTCTGGGAGTTGAAGGCCAAAACATCTGAGGACTCACAGGTTGAGAACCACTGCCATATATGGACAGGCAACTGAAGATACACATACATATACATTCTCTTTCAATATTTTCTCACATGGACCAGTTGACTGATGGACGAGTGACAGGAACAGCTTCCAAATTGTAATAAAACTTTAATTTGATTGTTCCCAGAGCTCTACTGAACTCGCTATGCATTGAGCCAGATTCAAAAGTACTGCATATTTATGGAGGATAATAAGCAGTGTGAAGTGGTTGAGCAGTGAACAGGTTTCTGAAAATTGAGAACTCACTGAGAAGGAATTGGCTGACTACTGATGCAAATCTGACTATTTGGATAATTTGTTACATCCAGAGAACTTCATTAACCCATACTCCATTACTTTTCTTTTTATCCTCAGCCCATTTGTCATGCAGCTTATCGTAATGATTTGAATGAAGTCCAACTTCTGCTGGAAGAAGACATCAATAATTTAAACGTCCAGGACAGTTTTGGTGGAGATACGCCATTAATTTGTGCTTGCAAACAGGGGCATAACAGAATAGTGAGTTACCTTCTAAAAATGAATGCAGACGTCAACATCAGAAATAAGGTGAGGAGAAACAGCAACCATAGAGATGAGACAATCTTCTTCTATGTTACTAAATTCAGAATATGATTTTTACATAGCAGGGAAGAGGAAACATTTGCTCACAAAAGTAAAGCTTTTAACAAACTCCACCTAGTAAAATATTTGCCAAAGAGTGTCATTCTTTGATGGATTTGCAGCTAGTAGGCATGTGTGATCCATTAAAAAATGGTTCAAAAGTACTTACAACACTGGGGATTGCTGGTGCTTTGTTTCTAAAATGTTTCTAACATTTAATTAGTAAAAACACTCATTATTATAATGAGACTAACAAAAATTCGTTATAGTAATTGTGCATGCACATTAATGCAATCATTACTATTGGGGGAACTTCAGGGGCTCCTATCTCCCTCCTTTTTAAAGGTATTGGGGTGAAACTTGCTACAATGGTAAAACACATTTACCACTCTTTGCCCATCAAGTTTCAGAATGTTTCACTTATCCATGGATTTTGGGGGAACTTTCAAATTGTTTCTAAATAACATTTTTAAAAATAACTACAAGACCTATCTACTTGAATTTTATATACAATGCACCCTGCTTTATGGTGCATTAATTTGATAGTGGGCTTTATTCCGAGCCTTCTTGGAAGGTGCGGAATAAACCCATTACTTCCAGTGTCTGGAATGCAGTCCAGACACCATTTCCAGTTTTCTGGGCTAAATTAATCCGGAAAACTATGGCAATACCAATCCCCTCCCCAAAAGCCCTAAACCCCCTTTTAAAAATAAAAGTACTTACCTAGTCTCCATTGAAGAGCGACAGCAGCTCTCCTGGATGACTTGACGATGCAATCCAGAAGCGGGGGGGGGGGGGGGGGGGAGGAATTATTTTCCCCCCCCCCCCCCGTTCTCCTGGTGCATCATTTCTACATGCCAGGAGAGCTGCCGCAGCTCTCCAATGGAGGCTAGATAAGTACTTTTATTTTTAAAAGGAGTTTTTAGGGTTTTGGGGGATGGGGGTAGTCTCCAGGTGTTCTCCCAGGCCAGTCCTGAAGGAACACCTGTACACCCACATCAGAAAGTGTGCACTTTCTAGGGTGTGTGTGGACAGGGCCCCAGGAACTTCTGCATTTTTTACACGCGGATGCTCCTGGGATAAAGCCCTGTCTGGAAAGGTCTTACTAAAAAAGTTAACAATGCCAAAACATGCCAGTGCAGTTCTAGGCTCCATCAACAGGAGTATAGCAGGAGGATATTGTGGAATCACTCTATTTTGTTTTGGCCAAGCCTCACTTAGTTACAATGTCAAGTTTGGCATAACATTTCAAGAAGAATAATGACAATATGGTATGTTTCCAGAGAAGGGTGACTAAAATGAGGTTCAGAAATCAAGCCCTATGAGGAATGATTGGAGGAACTGATTATGTTTAGCTTGGCAAAGAAGAGATTTGAGTGATGATAGCCGCTGCCTCCTCCTATTTGTATCCCACTTTTCTCTTTTAATTGAGACTCAAAGTCACTCACAAAAATTAAAAGATAGTGCAATTTAAAATCCACAATATACAAATATTAAAATAGAATTAACAATCAGTCAATTAAAACTCCATGAAACACTTAAAAACTGTTAAAATAATAAAGTATCTGAAGGTATGTCATACAAGATGAAGGAAGATTGAGTTCTACTCTAGAGACTAGGGGTTCATCCACACTGGAGTTTGACACCACTTTAACTGTCATGGGCCAGTACTATGGAATCATGGGATTCGTAGTTTTACAAGGTCTTTAGAGAAGACAGTTACCTTTACATTTTAAAAATGAATTTAGAGAGGAGTTGGTTGATTACTGTTGTGGGGAAAATGCCCCAGCTGTTTGGTTCTTCCTGATAGATCAAGCAGCATACATATGATATTGTACAGATAATAATGCAACGAATGTCTCTGATGCTGATATGTGTAAATAAAGCAACATCTCATCATTTTTAGCCTCTCCAGAACTGTTGCCTTTCTTAAGCCTCTTGGGGTGCATCCAGACAGCCCCTTTAATGCAGGAGTTACAGCAATTAAAAGGGGGCTTTCCAGATGATATCCTGGATAAACCCGAATTAATGAATTCACCACAAACCAGGAAAACCCTGGTTTGTGGTAAATTAATTTGTTAGTGGGTTTATTCCACACCTTCTTGGAAGGCACGGGATAAACCCACTACTTCTGGTGTCTGGACTGCAGAAGTAGTGGGTCCAGAGAGCAACCCCACAGTTTCCTGTGCTAAATTAGCCTGGTAAACCATGAGAACAACAACTCCCTCCCCAAAAGCCCCCCAAAGTCCTGTAAAAAAACAAAAGAACTTACCCGGCCTCCGTCAGAGGGCTGCTGGAGCTCTCCTGGCATGTCTTTTCTATGGGAAGTTCCGGGAAGACATCTGGACACCCATCAAGTGCTTTCCGGGGTATGTGTGGATGTTCCCAGGATAAATGCCTGTCTGGAAGTGCCCTTGGTGCTGCTTTTCGGTTTATTATACAGAACTAAACAGGAGCCAAGCACTGTCTCCCAGAAGACCCCAATGACCACATTCTGCTTTGGGAAAATAGTGAAAATCTGTATAAATTATTTCTGTTTGTTTTGTATGTTAAATAATGAAATTAAAAACTGCTCTTTTATTCTCTTTTAGAAAGAACGAACGTGTTTGCATTATGCTGTCAAAAAACGGTTTGGCTTCATTGATTACTTGCTCATTATCATCTTAATGCCTGTTATGCTTATTGGATATCTCCTCATGGTAAGCTCTAGAAAAACAGACATGAACAGTTCATATTTGTATAAGTAGAGTATTCCTATCCCTTATCAAAAAGGCTTGGGATCAGAAATAGTTTGAATTTTGGAGGGTCACTCCAAAAGTATTGCACATTTTTAAAAAATCCAAATATTATTCTACATCTTTGTTATCTGTACAGTACTTTGATATATGCTTTAGGAAAAAATATCACTTTTCCACATAATCTCATCCCTTTCAACATCCTGCATAGTAAATCTCTCAGAACTCTGTACATACTTGCTTCCCCAATACTAAATTGGAGTGACATTTATTTAACAGTCACATGTCTATCAGCTTTAACCATGTTGTTCATGTGCTCCACATTGTCAGTTGTTTGTGCAGGTGTGTAGTCTGCCGCTTTGTGGAGCATCCTGAATATTGGCATGGTCCGTTTCACCAGATAATCTGTGAGCCCAGCAACTAACAGCACTGTAATAGACAGTGTAATCCCCATAAACCATCTTTAGGCTCTTGTGGATTTTCCCCATTGTCTCATTCTCACAAATAAGCAGTTCAATTACAGCTTGTGGCTTTCGATGGATATCAAGAGCTGCAGCCATCTTGGAAGAGTGCTACAGTGTCTTATGTGGGAGCGAGTTGAACTAAATTTGATGTAGAAATTTACCAACACAGTTATGTGGTAGGCATGGGCAATCCATGGTTCTAAATGATTCTAAAGTTCTGGTGGTGAAAATTTCAGAACTCTAACAAAACTTTCAAATTTCATTATTATTTCGTTATTGGCAATTTTTATGACAGAACGAATTAGGAACTGCTATTTTGAAAGTTTTGTTAGAGTTCTGAAATTTTCACCACCAGAACTTTAACAACACTATAGAAGCAAAGCACCAGCGCCCTCTAGTTTCGTAAGTACTTTAGAACCATTTAGAATCATGGATTTCCCATGCCTATTATGTAGCCTGTTATGTAGCAGTGAGAATCATTATAGCAAAATCTTGGAAGGGGAAAAAAAGACTTACTTATTAAGGATTGGAGAAGAAAAGTAATAGAGTATACCCAAATGGTCATGATCCCCAAAGGCATACAGGGAGGAAATAAAGAAGAATTCGCTTGAAAATGGAGACTGGCCTTTGGGTATTTTTTGGGTATTTAAAAAAAAACGCAAACAAAAATAAATTTTGAAATAGATGAATGGAGAATTTATTAGTGTAATGAAAAGTACAGACCTTTTTTAGATGCTAGTTCCATATGGTGTGGTGTCAGAAGTCGTGGGTGGTGGTTCCCAGGTGGGAATGGGGAGGTGGCGGGACAGGGGAAATATTACTTGTATTTTGATTGTTGAATCCCAAAGATTGTATATTGGTGTTTTTTTTCATATATCACAATTAAATTTTATACCAAAAAAATTGAATAGATCAACCCTGCAGGATGGTGCTCATCTCCATTTCTAAGCCTAAGAGCTGGCATTGTCCATAGACACCTCCAGGGTCATGTGTCTGAAATGACTGCATGGAGTACTGTCACCTTCCCACTGTGGTGGTACCTTTTGATCTACTCATATCTGCATTTTTTTTCAAAGTGCTAGGTTAGCAGGAGCTGGGGGTAACAGCAGAAGCTCACTCCGCTCCCTGGATTCGAACCACCAACCTTTTGATTAGCAAGTTGAGCAGCTCAGCAGTTTAACCCACTGTGCCACTGGGGGCTCCTTTTAACTCACAGAAATTATTTGGAAATAGCGCGTAGAAGCATCTTCTATATAAGAATTTTTGTACATGATGGTGAACATACTTTTGAACATACTTTTGACTATATTAGATAGAAATCAATGAAATAAAAGCTGATTATACACAAATGAGATACCAGGATTTTCCCTCTGTAAAAGGACTAAGGACTGAAGATCAGATTCTTGAAGCAAGTGCCTTTTGCCCTAGAAAAATCCAATGCTGGAAAAAATTGTGAATATCAAAAAAAGAAGTGCCTCCTTCCCCACAAAGTGCTAAAATAATGTCATATGTGTTAGGTTGTCTCTATGAAGAAAAAACTTCATTTAATATTATTGTTTTACAAACTAGTAGAAATGGTCTTCCTGACAATCTTCCAATTATCTCTCAATCTGATATCCAGGTATCAAGAAGTAAGCAGAATGAAAACCTCATCAAGCTGTTACTTAGAGCTGGTGTAGACGTTAATGCTACTGATGATGTAAGTGGACCTTAATGCACAGTTTGTGCCATTTTCTAGACTTTACTATCTTCTGCTTCAGAAAGGTATTTGCATTGCTGAATGAAACCCTTTTCTGAATGTATTTTCTGTTTGGAAAGGTGCACATTTAAAGTATCATTAACAACGAGATGCAATGGCTTCCTCAACTTTTGCAGTATAATACTGTAGGAATCTTCTGCTACTTTTGACAATGTATAATCTCACCTGGAAAGTAAAATCATGCAGAGATCTGGAATATAAACCTTGACTGAAAAAATGAATGCCTTCTTCTTTGCTGTATATCATACATATTGTTGCAACTCAGAGTAAGCTTCACCTTGCTTCCAAACACCACAACACAAGAGCTGTAGTTTTATAGTCTATTGAGGAAAAAATCCAAGTCAAAATAAAGAATAAGCATTGCAAAGTTCCAAAGATTAAGGTTAAATGCAGAATATACTTCCAAAGATCTTCAGATAAAAGCAAGAGACACAATCCTATTAGCAAAGTTCAAACCAGAGTCCCAGGTACAAGCAATGAAACAATTGCCCCATGAATCACAGTGCAAGAAATCCCAAGCGTACTGCTTTCCAAGCTAAGATTATTCCATGAAGCTTTCAGGCTAATAAGCTATGTTGAACTGACACTTTCCCTTGGTTTGCAAGAAGCCTAAATACCTTTCTAACATGAAAACATTACATGAAATCACTGCGATGACCTTTCACTGAGCTGGCCTCTCGTCTGCCGGCCAGGGGAGAACTTTGCCTGACCCGGAGATCAAGACGAGCCTGCCGGGTCAGGTCACTGTCACGGCTTTCGGTATTTTCAGTATTAGCGTGGGAAGGAGGCAAATGCCTCCCCACCTGTTTGCTATCTCTTTCGTTAAAATTCCTTTCACTTGGGAACCGCTGTGTTGATGTTGACTCTGCACTGTCTGTGTTGTCTGTGGGAGCCGCAGGCCCAGAGATCTGAGGCACAGAAAAAGAGCCAGGAGGTACAGAAAAAGAGCCAGGAATCTGAATCCCATCATCCTCATCATCACAGAACATCTCAGCCACAACACATATTCATATATCCTGACATTCTGGTGGCTTATTCATTGGAAAATCTTATTCAGATTTCATTAAATAAAAAGCTTATGTAAGACACATCATGGCGTTCTTCTACTCCAATCGGCCCAGCAGACAGGGCTTACAGGAAAACCAAGTTGAGGAGGAGCCATGATCAGCTGCCACATTGTCCCGTTATGGATGGGAAACTGTGATGGCAGGGCCCTTGCTGTTAAGGCCATCACAGCAAGCCAAAGAAGCCGGATTGGCGGAAGGAAAATGGCTAAAACGGATCCGCGCACAAGCCTAGTAACAACCCTACTTTAAAACATCACTACCCTTTGAATGTACCTTGGCCTATTCTGAAAAAATTGGAGAAACCACTCAATTTTTATGAAGCAAACTAAATTATTGTAAATCTGTTGAAACTTAACAGTGTATGTTCTTGTTCTTTCTAGTTAGGAAGAACAGCCCTGCACTATGCATGTGAAATGAAGAACCAGTCCATCATTCCTTTACTAGTTGAAGCTGGAGCTGATCTATCCATAAAGGATAAGGTAATATAGATACAGCTTTAAAGTGATACAGTTATAACTCTAATAAACTGATAAATCACTTAAATCTTGGCCACAAAATATCTAAACTCTTTGGCAACATGAGCAAACTAGATGGTTTAACAAAGCAAAATACCACAGGACTGCTTTTGAGACGTTTGTAGCATCAAGCAGTATCCTTTGGAATAAATGTATTAATTTATTCTTTCTTCCTTATGATGCCTGGGTTATTTGAGGAAGGCATTATGTGCCAAGGTTGGTCTTTATGAGTTATTTATGTGACTCGCAGTGGTCTCAGGAAGTTAATGAAGGCACTTCAGTCCCCATCATCTGTGGTCCATCCATCCTCCAAACTGTACCAGGATGTAGATTAGGTCATTGGAGATATGTGTGCCAAGTTTGGTCTTGATCAGTTATTGATTAGTGTTGCAGCAATCTCGAAAAGTGAATGAAGGTACTTCAAGTCCCATCATGCATGGTCCATCCTCCTCCAAACTGAACCAGGATGTAGAATGGGTTATGAGGGCTCTGTGTGCCAAGTTTGGTCTTGATCACTCATTGGATGAGGGTTGCAGCAGTCTTGGGAAGTGTGTGCAGGTACTTCAAGTCCCATCATCCATGGTCCACCCTCCTCCAAACTGCAATAGGATGTAGAGTGGGTTATGCTGGCTCTGTGTGCCAAGTTTGGTCTTTATCGGTCTTTATTGGTTGCCACAGTGGTCTGTGGGAACCGAAGTGTTAGAAAGTACTGCAAATGCCATCATCCATTGTCCATCCTCCCCCAAACCACACCATGACGTAAAGGGGGTCATGGGGGTTATGTGTGCCAAGTTTGGTCCAGGTCCGTCACCCGTGCAGGTCACAGCGGCCTGTGGAAGTGGGAGCCAATCAGAAAGCTGCCACATACCCACATACATACATGCATACCTACCCATGCATGCATACATACATACAAACACTGACTTTTACTATATATATATATATATATATATATATATATATATATATCATTGGTCAAGTAATGTTAAAGAAGATATTATTACTCTCCTTCATCAACACTCCCCCCCCCAAATCCATGCTAGTGAACAGTGAATCTTGGTTCCAAATTGGAAGAAAAGTAGGATATGAATTCAAAAGATAAATAATTATCAAAATGAGTTCCTTCTTTGTTATTGTACATTGACTTCATGATAGAGATCAACTTCAAGCACTAGCACAGTGGAAATCAGTGTGAGCTTTTCTCCTAACAAACAAAAATACATATGGATTTATGAATTTTCCACCAAATGTGTGCATTTTTGAGTGCATATACTTACTGACTATTTGTGCACATTTTCCTACATAATTCACAATCGAACCATGTCAAATACATTTATTTCTTTTATGGAGTGTTTCCCACACTCAGAAATATTCTGATTTCTGGCCACAAATTGTGATCAGTTGTGAAATGAAAGTTGGATGAATCTATTTAACAAACCACCCCCAGTCAAATGTGTCAGTCATTCTTTCTCAGTATTATTTTCTTCAATAAGTTTTACCATTTGATTTTTTTTTCAGAAAGAAGAAACTCCATTGGACATAGCAAGAAGATTGAAGTTTACCAACATAGAGTCCATCTTAAAGAAGAAATCCTAGACTGTAATGGGGCATTGACATGGCTGGGGCTACTACACAATTCACAGTAATAAGTGTGCTTGCATTCCCATTTTAATGTGAGCTCATGTCTAGAGTTGATGGCATATCTATGCAACACAGACATAAAGCATTTATTACGCTGCTCTATACTGATCACTGATGGGATGTGACTCAAATAACATGTTCACTTTTGTGAATAGTAGGATTTTCATTGCCATTTCCCCTCCCAACACATGATGTCTCTAAGAGTATTTATTTGTTATGCCTTATCTGTAAAAGCAGAGCAATTTTAGCAATAAAGTAATCTTTTGTATAGTATGCCATTTCAATTTGTCACAAAGAGTATCTGGTATGGTTATCAAATGTAGGATAGCAGTATTGGAAAGAGTCAAAATACTTTCCTGTGCAAGTATTGCCAAATAAATATTTGTGGTAGATTTTACCTCCCCTTTTTCACCAAATTTCAGTTCTCCCACTTTCAGGAGATTAGAAACAAACCTATACCAGAACATCAGGAGAAAAGAAACAAAATAAGTAATGGTTGAGTTTACTTTTCCAAAATTCAAAATACTCCAAAATGTAAAAGGGTCCACATCAGTGGTCGAGAAAATGACACCTTGGCCTTTTATTTTATTTACCGTATTTTCCAGCGTACTAGGCGACTGGGTGGGCATAAGACGACCCCCCAACTTTTCAATTTAAAATTTCAAGTTTTGGATATACTCACCATATTATACAACTCCTCTTGCCAGCCCATTCAGGCCCCAAAGCCTCCTTTCCTGGGCTTTAAGGCGGCTCCTCGGCTCCATAGAGGCGGCCTCTCCTCCACTGACTGCCAGGCCCCACTACAGCCAGCCAACTGCATGCTCATCACTTTCTATTTTGTGTCCAAAACATCACTTCCTGGAGTAAAACATCAAAATAATAAAAAAAGATTTCCTCAGTTGCAGTTGCAGCCATGCACCTTTAGGTGTCAGTAGAGAATCTTCCCCATTCCCTTTGCTGTGTAGTTAGAGTAAACACTAATGGTAGCTCTTTTATTTACGGAACTGGCGTAGATCTTACTTTCAGTGTGTGAAGTCTGTAGCCCAGCTCCGCCCCCTGTGCTACAAAGTTTACACACCCACTGTGTCTTGCCATTGTGATGCTCAGAAGAATGCCAAGGTGCTCTCAGGGAAGGACGCTGATTAGTTCTTCCCACCAGTGACATGAAAGCTTCTCCTGCCCCCACAGAGGAGGTGCTTCCTTTGGCTTCGGGCCTTACACGAGGCCCCAGCTTTGAGGTCTTGTGTGGGAAAGGGTAGGGAAAATGGGAGAGGCCCCTGGATTTAATTATGTACATGGGATAATAGTATTTTGGAGTATTTTGAAGTTCTGGATAAGGAGTACTTGGCAGGGAGGAAGTTGCGGCTTTATTAAATCCATAAAGCCTCAAGGCCTGGGCAAACTTTTGGAAGAGTGGAGGAGCCCCTCGGTGAAGCTGAAGCCTGGCAGCTGGAGAAAAGCGGAACCCGAGGGCTGCCCTCCAGGCCTACTTGTCTCCCACAGCTGAGCTTCAGTTTCATCGAGGGGCTCTTCCACTCCAGGCCCGCCTCGGCTGTCTGTGCGGCAGCGGAGGAGGCGGAGGTGGCGACGTAGCCATCCAGTGAGTATATCGCCTCCTCCTCCGCCGCCGTATTGACAGCCAAGGTGGCCATAGAGTGGGCTGAAGCCCAGCAGTGGGAGAAAAGCAGGGCTGGAGGAACGCAACAGCTGCTGCTGCTTTGGGTGCCCTGCTCCAGCGCAGGGCAGCTGCCCGCCTCCATCACTTTGACCCAAAACAGGAAGTGATTTTTTTATACCCGGAGTACTGGGTGACATGAGAGAAGCCTCCTCTCAGGATTGTGGCGTATCCGGGCATCCCCTGGGCAACGTCTTCATAGACGGCTGATTCTCTCACTCCAGAAGCGACTAGAAGTGACTTGCAACATACAACCAAACAAGCAAACCGACCAACGGACCTTTTCAGGACCAACCATGACAATAATCTCAATCAACATTGAAGGCATGTCAGCTGCCAAAGAACAACTACTCTATGAACTGTGCCGAGATAAGAAATGTGATGTGCTGTGTGTCCAAGAAACACACAGAGATAAACAACAGAAACGACCAACCCAGCGTACTAGATGATCCCCATGTTCAGCAAGGATTTTCCAGGGTTAAAAACTCGTCTAGTATGCCAGAAAATAGTTATCTGTTTACTTTATTTTTATCCTGGCCTTCTCTCAATATAGGGACACGAGGTGGATAACAATAAATGTAAAACAATGCTCATAAATGCAATGAAAAAACAATAAAATATAAATAGACAATCTGAGAAACAAACATTAAAATATTAAAATGTATCTACACATTAACATCTCAGTCACACCACTTTTAAAAGCTCAACCCTTGTCAGTTTGTAAACATTTGATGAGAGCAATGTTTTTAAGTACCAATGAAAAGTGTGCAGGAATAGGGCATTCTGGGAGGTTGCTCAAAAACATATAAAAACTATGGTGTATAAAATTACTTTTATGCTATGTGTATGAGATTTATATAAACACAAATTAATTTCATGTTCAGGTTTGGGGCCCATCTCCAAGGTATCCCATTATGTATATGCAAGTATTTCAAAATCCAAAACACTTCTAGTATTTCAGAGAAGGGATATCCAACCTGTATGGGGTTACATTTTTTAGAGAAAACTTGAATAAGAAATGTTGGTGAAGGAAACACAATAGAGAAGAAGAAGACCTGAATTTTCACATAAAGGTAGAAAGAAATTCTGAGATAGAAGACATGCAGATGTAGGTGATGATGGTGGTCGTGGCTTGCCATATTGAATATACTACACAAAAGGAAAGCATCTATATAAATCATTATGTATTTAACAGATATCATCAAGATCATGAAGATGTATCATTAGAAATTTTTGAAAGTCTACCATGTACATAAAGATTATGAATCCATTAGGGTCATCTTTGTAGCTTTGTTAAGTTACWAAGATGGYCCTATTGCAAAAAAGTAAAAGWAAGAAGAAAAGGCAACAAAAAGATAGCAACAAAGCAACATCTCAAAGATTAGAARCATTGCTTCATCTTCTCAATCATTTCCATGTATCTGTGTAATATGGGTATTTTAATGGCTAAATTATCTGGCCCKTTTGCACTTAGACATCAAAAGAGYATCAGATTGTGTTAATAGATTCATAATCTCTATGTACATGGTAGACTTTCAAACATYTATTTTGATACTTCTTCATGATCTTGATGATATTTATGTTAAATGTGTTTGGTTGCAAYAAATGACKAATTATGGTCTAGGCCAGTGATTGGCAACCTTTTGAGCTTGGTGTGTCAAAATTTGCCAGAAACCTGAGCATAACTTGGGTGGAGTGTCACGTCAAAAAAAAACCCCCATAATTTTGCAATATTTATAGTTTAAATAAGAAAAATGTATATTCCATGCTGAGTTATGGAGTGAACAATGCTCAAACGTGCATATGTTAAATTTGTAGAGCCTTTTACAAATTTATTGATTGAATTAGATTGGCTCTTATAAGGTGTCTTTCTCTGTATGTGGCCACATGTGTCTGCGTGTCATCAAAAATAGCCATGCGTGTCAATGCTGACACGCGTGTCATAGGTTCACCATCATGGGTCTAGGCATTTCCCATCCCCAAAAATGCTTTCCATAAATGATATTACTATTGCTACCTCGCTTGGATCTGCAAACAAGTTTTCTACACAATGCAGTTTAAATTTTTATCTCCTCTATTTTGTAGATAGGGGAAAGTTTTGGAGGTAAAAACAATAACAAACAGCTTGGTAAAATGCACGACAAAACAATTGTTACAGTTGTTTCTAGAAATATTTAATACTTGCTTAAAACGGGATGGAAGTGGTGTGGCATTTGAAGCCATCCTCTTCGTCTTGAAACCATCCTCTTGGTCTTAATGTCCTTATTCTGTAATAGGCATTACAGAATAAGGGAATTTTGTGATTCTTGAAATGGGTCCATTTTGGGCTTGTTTACTATGTTTCCCAATTTTATGTCCGCAATGGAAAAATTATGTACAACAGTTTTTGCAAAACAATGTTCACATTTCTGGAGATTTGTGCCAAAATTATATTTTCTTTCTTCTCTCTCTCTCTTCTTTATTTCTTTTTCTTTTCTTTTCTTTTTTCTTTTTTGCTGAAACAACTTTGTTTTAATGCACCTTTGATGTTTAAATATGAGATTCCTTTTCCAAAAATACTCCAAATATAAGGGTTTTTTACAATATGTTTTGGTGTTTCCAGTCATGCTGTCTTGCTGAAATCAACAGAATTTGGGAATTTGGGATGAGCCAAATATGTCAGTGCTTTGGTCCTTTATTACAGGCTGCTACTTCCCAACAGATATTAGGTGGTACAATATCGGCTAAATAGGATAATTTCTCCAGTGATGTAGATAATGCAGCATGTCTCATAAAGAGCCACATCCACTGTTTTAACATGGTGAGATGTATTCCATAATGGTCATGTGTATTCAGCAGCAGAGTGCACAATGCAAAGGCAGATGTCTTCACTGTGTCTTGTTGCAATCCCCAGGTTGTGCCAGTCAGCTTTCATATGATATTATTTCTGGCACCGACTTTTTACTTGATAAACAAGCGGTGTTTCTTGTAAGTCAGAGCACAGTCCAGAGTAACTTCCAGGTAAGTGCAGCAATGCTCCAGTGAGATTCCTTCCCAGGTAATCCTCAGGGTTTGAGATGCTTGTCTGTTCTTAAGATGAAAGGCACACATTTGCATTTTAGATGGATTAGAAATCAACTGGTGTTCCCTGTAATAGACAGGAAGAGCATCCAGAGCTTCGGAAAGCTTCTGATCAACCTTTTCAAAGCCCCCCATTTGAGTAGTGATGACACAATCGTCAGCATAGATGAAACTCTCTGTCCCTTCTGGCAATGGCTGGTCATTTGGGTGTGATGATGGTTCTGAAAAAAAGATTATGAATGGCCCCATACAATAGTAATTTTCAAATATTTTTCTACTTAACAAGTGTAGGTAAAGTTGGCTCCTCACTTTTTTTTTGGCAACTCCAAGAAAAAAGTGCATTTGAACAGTCTGATGTGTTGCCAAAAATTGTACTGTGCCTTATTAAGTTTGGCAGCAAATACACATTATATCAGCAAACCACTAAATTGACTAGCAAACTTCAGTTGCCCAAACTAGTCAAATGGCTGTTAATCAGAAGTCTTAGATTTGAAACTGCTTTAAGCCAAGTGCCAAACTGAAATTGATATTTTTTTCA